AGCTCACAAATAGTATGAGGCTTTTTCCACCTCATCTGACTTCTATAGAGAATATTTATTTAGTAAGTCTTGAACAGTCTATTATTACATGGCTGGGAGAGTCAACAGATGGGTAGAAAAAAATTAATTCCCTCTTTAACCACCAGAGGGAGAGTTCTTCAAAAGATTTAATCTGCTGTTCAGTTGATCGCATGTATAATGCACCGTTTTGAACACTCGGATCTTCCTTCGATCTACCAGCATTTTGATGCAAGACTTAGCAACTTACACTGATGTGCTTGATACTTGATGTTTAAAATACACCTTGATACTTCTCTTCCTCGTAAATAAGTTTGCTGGAGGACTCCCTAGAACTATGGGATTTACAAAATCTGCCAAACAAATATCAAGATTTTTAATATTTCAAAATTATCACAGATTTTTAATTCTTTTTTTTTTTTAAAGGGCAGCCAGTCACTTGACACATGCAACAGTTACCAGAGTTGAGGGATTTTTGTATGAAATCACAACAAAAAGTAAGCAATAGATAAGAACAGCGTATTTCACTTCGATTTTTAGCGCCAAGACTATTTTAGGATGTAAATGAATACTTGTGGCTAGGCAGACTATACCTGAAGTCATGCAGTCTTTTCTGAAGGTGTAAAAAATGAGGATAGTATCATTTTAAACGGCTGCTTTGACTGTTGAATTCACATTCTTGTGACTCTCCACAGGATGAGTGTACTCCCACTATGCCTACTGCTGAAATGATCTTACAATAGTGAATGAACAGTTGAATAAAATGAGCACACAATATTTAACTTGTGGTACCCTCTGCAACTCCAAGAGGTGGTGAGTGTTTTTGGTTTCCACTGTGCCTTTTTTCCTTCAGCAAATCAGTTGTGCTGTAAGGCACAAGCTTCTTTTCCTGGTTTAGGATCCAGAAACCCAACAGAGATGTTCCCACCCAACCCCCCTGTTTCTTCATTTATGCATTTGCTGTTAGCCTGTGGTACATTTCCACCCCCCTGTTCTGGGCTGCTCTGCCATTTCAGGAGTTCTGTTGGGCATTTGCCTGTGTATAATGAGTTGGGTGATGAAGCATCCCTTGACTGTACCAGGAGCTCTTGCATGGCTAAGGTGGGAGGAGCAGTGACCATACCATGAACTCCCATTGCCTGGCCAAGGTGGGAAGTGAGAGCGGGAATAATCAGTCATTCCCTGACAGCTTTGGAACATTCCTCACCTTGGTTGTAGCCTGAGCAGAATAATACCATTGTTACTGGAATTTTGAAAATTCCAGTAAGTACAAACTCAGATTGTGTCAAGGATTGAAATTGACTGAAAACTAAAGCCAACCATCTTGCAACCCTGTATACAGTGATCATAAGTGAGGCCCTTTGCTCTCTCCTGGACTGCGCTGGCCTGTGACCAAGCATGTCCCTCTGAGTGGACAGAGCTCATTTCTGAGCTCTGAGTCTTCTCAGAGCTCATGAACTCTCAAGTTTGTGAGGTTCAGAGGACAGATGCTGAAAGCCGGTGATGCAGTGTAGGCTGAAGACTCCCCATTCCTTAAGGCTCAGCCCTCACCGATGGGGAAATTTGAAGTGGACGGGGAGGGGAACTTTTAACCACTGTCCAAGTCTGAGGCTAAGGTTGGACCTAGCCACATACAAGCTCCATCAGGAGTTTGGAAAGCAAGGGGATCCACTCTCAACCTCATGACTCAGTGGGAGTGTTTCCCTTACTCTTCTGCATATGCAGCCTGAACCATTTTAGCTCAATTCTAACTGTTTTTCCGTTGTACATTACATTCATATAGTAAGTAATAAGAGTGAACCTTGCCATCAAAATCTTAGTCACCCTTTCATAAATTCATACTAAAACTTTTCTTGCTAATACTTTTCTTTGAGAAATCCTAAACCTAGTAATTTCAATAGAAAGAAAGGTCTTTGTTTGGGGGTTGTTTTGGGGGGTTTTGGTGGTTTGTTTTTTGGATTGGTGTTTTTTTTTTCCTTCACTCCTCTGTATGTCTGTTCTGTATAAGCTCTTGTGAACTGTAATGCTGTTCGGGTCTGGTCCTTCATCTCATTAGTGTTTCACACAGATTGATGTATGACTTGGTGGTGTGCATCTGATGTCAGATTTAATAGGAGTGAGCTGTTGTAAAGATAAGTAGGTGCCTTCTAATATTTTTCTCCTAAAATGTAAGGGGATCCTGTTTGTGTGTGTCGAGAGGAACACGATGGATTCCAATCAGCCACTGAAGGCAGAGGTTCACTAGTTCTGCCCTAACCCTGTTTTGATACTGAGCAGGTCCAGGCTGCTTCATAGTTTAACTTTTAATTAAAAAAGCTGAAATGCCCCTACACCTAATTGCCCCCAGCTCAGTGCCACATAGGAAATTTTTTAAGCAACCTAGATGCCTTTGAAGCAAAAGGTGAGCTGCATTTGACTAAAGAGACAATCAGGAAGATTATGTTATATTGAGGGCCAGCTAGAGCCTGAGGAGAGATGACTACGAGCCTCTGCAGTTTGGTTCTTGCTCTCAACTGGCCTCAGAGAAGGTTCCTGCCACTTCCCACTTACTGCTCATCAAGTCAAGGGAGATTGACTGGTCAAGCTAGGTGCTGGATGGTATGGATACCATCCAATCTAGTGCTGGTAGGATGCAACACCTAGTGATGTCTAGGACATGTTGAATAAAGCAAAACAAGCAGGAAAAGAACGTACAAGTGCCAGTGAGTTTCATGATTCACATCATTACAAATGGATAAATGATGGCTACAAAGAATGAAAAATGAGTGGAGAGAGAACAGTCTGACAGTCCTGTGTAACACTTGTTCTGAGATACAAGACTTGAAGGGGCCTGTTCCAGGCTAACATGGTGAATATATCTGTCATGGCATTTCCTTATTTCCTTTTTTATGAAGCACATTTTCCTAATGCTGCTCTCGAAATGGCAGGTACATTTAAATTTAGCAAAGTTATACTGAAAGGTGCATAAAATACAATTAGCATGTTCAGTGTGAAATGACAGCATGGCATTATCTGTGATTGCACTGGAGTTTAGAAATTCAGTGTTGTTTCCCATTGCAGCTATAACTCAGGCATGCCATTATTTATTGACGACTGTCAAAGTAAAGAGCATAAAACAAAGGTACTCAATGAGCCAGTCTCTTGCACTAAAGAACTTACAACCTATAAATGAAGGTGTGCAGAAATAGAATAATTGTACTTTGAGAAAAATATAACTTCTTGCGTTTTCTTGTTAGCGTATCAGTTTTCCTGCAAGTGCTGCAAAATCAGGGTGCATGTGTGATATCTTTGGATTACTTTATGGAGGTATTTGGCAAATGGAGAAGGGCCTCAAGAGGTGAGGATGAGATAAACAGATGGGAATGGAAAGTGTTAATGTTCTCGGAAGGGTTGTGAAGTTGAATTCTCTTAAAATCCCTGTAGGCTCCTTCCTTCCTTGATGCTGTTACTGCTAAGACATAACTTAGCAGAAAGGAGATCTGGCTGTAGCTTATCATGTCAGTATCTTTTCTGTTGCCTTTTTTTTTTTGGTATTGTCAAGCCCCAGCCAAACATGCTTTTAAGGGCCCTCACAGGAGTAAATCCCTTATTTTTATACTTGCTTTTTTTACAAGGATAGATGGTGTAATTAAAGGAGTGGAGGCATCTGCCTTCAGCTGGCATGTCACCTCTTTTTATCAACAGCAGTGCTCTGACTATGGATAAAAAGGGGAAAGACAGAGAGGATATCCCCTCTACCACTTCAGAATCAGCATTGCTCCCAGAGCAAAAGCCGTGTTAAAATACATGATAGGAAGAGTTCAGCAGCAATACTGGCTTCCACTTCTCCTTTCTCACCTATTCTGTTCTTTCCTGCCCCCACTGACTCCTCTCCTACCTAACCATAGAACTGTGAAAATAAAAACTACTTTTCTCCTGCAGGATGGGATCCTCATTGGGAGCTGGTATGGAAGAGGCTGAGCAGGCAGCAGGGCCTGGGGAAAGTTTGGCATCATGAGCATCTCCAAGCCTCCATGCTGCAGGTAGCTGATGCAACTTGTGTGAACATGCTAGTACAGAACTGTCAGCATGAAATGAAGTCATAAGTTTTGAATGGGTATGTTTGGATGAGTGAGTAGCTTTAGAAGTAGATCAATGATGGAGGGAAGCTCTGAGAGGTTAGAAAGAAAGATCTGGGGCGCAGCGCTCATCTAACTAAACCATAGCACAGACTGTTGTTGCTGGATGCAATGCAGAGAACTGAGCCCATGCCCATAATTGGTCTCTAGGCCTGGATGTGCCCACACTTTGGAAGTGCCGGTCACACAGCAGCCATGTCACCTCTTTGTCTTTGGTGGCTTTGTGCCCACTCCCCTTATGAGAGGTCATCTGGAGAATCAGTTTTTTTCCAGAGAAATGCCTTTTTTGGAGGCACTGAGTGCAAATGCTTAGAGCAGCTGGAAGCAGGGCCCTTACCCTCGTAGTCTCTTTCCTTCCTGTGATCTCAGATGAAGAACTATGATGCCCTGCTTTTAATATTTGTCTCAGTTTTACACAGTTGAATAGCTGGTTTTGAGCTCTGTTTGGAGAAATAGACCAAAAGAGATGGGTGAGGTGAGATACTGCTGAGGAGCTGTGAACACTGGACAAAAGTAACTTCAGATTTTCCCCAAACAAATTCTGTGTTAAGGTCAAAACAAAGAAGACAAATGTAAGTCCTGCAAGCGATGTTTGTGAAAACTTCTTTTCCTTCCCAGGAGAAAAATCATGGCTAGAGTTTTCCATATTTTCTACAAAGCCCCTTTTTTCACACAAAAGGAATGAACAGCCTCGAAGAAAGGTCACAGTCAGTGGCAACTTCATCATTTGCAGCCTCACACGCTCCAACCAAAAGCATTTCTAGATTGGTCTGACAAAAGCCAGAGATGCAGTTTACCTGTCCCTTTGAAAGAGGAGCTCCAATTATTCCAGCTCATGGCTTCAACTTGACACTCGTAACACCTGCAACAGAGGTGAAGTTCCTGTAAGGAGGAATTGGAGGAATCTGGTTTTCTTTCCATCCACAGGGGAAAAAAGAAAAGTACAAACCCAGCAGCAGCAGTTACTGCTTTCCTGTCCTTAAACCTCTCGCAAAGCTGTAACTGTTTACTGTTTTCTTAGACTGATAATTTGCAGTCTTTCCTCTGACTGAAATGCCACCTGAGCAGTTTTTAAGAAGGATGTGTTTCCATTATGTACAGTGCTGGGCAGCACCTCTTGAGTATCTTTGAAGGACAAAGCTTTCACAGAATGCATCCTGTGTCATATTGCTATTTATAATTTAGGTCAATTCTTTTTACTTCATTTTACTGTAGACAAAGGCATTTGCTTTAAAAGGATGAATAACCCTTGACCAGTAATAACTGTCACCTTTGCACTCTGACAACCATTTCAAATTCCCTGTGAGATTTCTTTGGATTTTTTTCTGCCATCCATGTTTTTACTCAGCATTTTCTGCAGGAAAAGGCAGACAAATCGAGGCCAGAGGTTTTGTATGATTCCCCACGTGGCATTGCCGGATTTCAGATTAAAGTTCTCATGCTTCAGTGCTTGAGATTAAGTCTACCCCACATGCAGGGTACAACTAGGCAGGCACATGAGGGGAGGGCTGTGCCTTCCTGGGTTCCACTGCATTCGGCTCCTGCACCCCTGAGCTTTCTCCTTTCTCACCCAGAGAGCAAATGGAGAGATGACAGACCAGCCCAGGAACCACTGCAAAATCTTGGGTTTCCACAGTCTCCATGCTGGCATTATCCCATTTCTGTCACCATTCCATGCTCCAACTCTCACTGCTGTCATCAGAGCTTTCCTCTGCAGAATCTTAGTGGACACAACTTCCACTGGATTCAAGCTTCTGCTGTTCTAAGCTCCTCACCCCTATGAGCATGTGAAGCACCCAAGAGCTGAGCATGCATATCACAAGCAGAAGTAGCCATTTGATGAAGGCACAGGACTTCTTGTCTTTAAAAGAACAAGAGAAATTATAATAATCAAGAAACTAAGAAGCACATTCACTGTGATTTCTCATTATTATTTTCAGAGGAAATCTAAAAACGCCTTTCAGCATTCTGGAAAATGCAGTGAACCATATTTGCCACTCAGTGTTCATAGAAAAATACTCATTTAGGGTTTGTTGTTTTTTTTTTCTCTCAATCACCCTAACACGTGAGTATGATTAAACATTTGCCACCTGCAAAGGAATGTCACTATGTAATTTTCTTTTCCATAGCATTCCGAGAGAAAGGCTATCACATCAGCTGTGGCAATTCTTCAGCCTCCCAGCCTGCAAAGAGTTTTACTGAGCTTGTTGATGTTGCTCTCACCTCTTGGAGGCAGTTGGGGCCACTGCTGTCTTCTGTTCAAAATGAACACTCTAGCCTAAATGAAAATAACAGGGTGCTATAACTGAATTCTCTTTTTCTCTTAGTGCATGAAATCAACACTCAAGAAGATGCTGGCTTGATAACATTTCCAGCCAGTCAGTGTGCAAGCAGATCCTGCAGTACTGCAAGCTGTGAAACAGATTTTTATGTACACATTCCTTGTCTGGGCCTTATTTACATTACAAACTGAATGTAGTATATTCAAGCTGTCGTGCACTGGAGGTTTTCCTAGTGTTTTATCCCAAAATACTGGTACAGCCTTTATGATAGTCCCTGCTCTAGTCACTTTTACAATGTTTTGGTTCATGTAAGAAAGCCTTATAAAGCAGAGATTGCTAGACATGTTCCTTCAGGTCCTCTTTCAAATCCCAGTGAACCTCAGGGGAATCTTGTCGTCACTTCACTGGGATTTGGATCTGGGACTGGCACACACACACCAGCCACCAGGTTCCACCAGTGGGGTTTGTTCTGTATGGAGTGATGGTCCAAAGCAGGTTATGTTACAAATGCTGCATTGAAAGCTTTTCAAATGGGCATCACATCAGCCCTGAACATTTAACTTGTGTGTATATAACTCTTCTTTCCGACTGAGGTGTTGGAATATATGGTGTTCAGCTAACTTGAGGAAAATGCAGGGTGGATAGTCAAATGAATTAAAAACAGAAATGGTCATCTGGAGCACATGCAATGCTTCTGAAGTGCCATTTTATGTCAGCCATCAAAGAAAATAAAGCCCTTTGAAATGGATGGAGCACCATGAAAATCCAGTTTCTGTGATCCATATGCAAACCATTTCTTCTGCTCCACTAGATGACAAGCTGACAAATCTTGTTTTAAAGAACATTTTCAACTTGCTTAATAAATTATAAAACGCAGCTTGCAAATGGCATATTTCATTTGCAGTGACATAAATCCCAAACAGATTTTTCAGTAGTGTTGCAAATTATATAAAGTGATTTATATGTTTCCTTGGCATCAGTTCTCTGTCTTTCTCCCTAAAATTAGACAAGCTAAAAGACAGAAAAGTAGGACATCGTTAAAAAAGCATTAGAATGAAACCCTGTGAAGTGGGAGTATTTGAAATTTAAAGTATAAAATGCTGACAAACCACTAAGGAATGATGGGCTCATGGTTAAGGTGTAGGAAGGGACTGCCAGAACGTAGATTATTTTCTTCTCTGACACAGTCTTCCCAGGTAACCTTAGTGTCCTGGGTTCAGCAGTAGCAGTCATTTGCTTCCTCCGTAGCAGGTGCAGTGCTGTGTTTTTTACTTTCAGCCTGAGAACACCGCTGATAACACCGATGTTTTTAGTTACTGCTCAGTAATTTTTACTCTGACCAAGGACTTTGTGAGTCTCATGCTCTGCCAGGGAGGAGGGGAAGCCGGGAGGAAGCAGAGACAGGACACCTGACCCAAACTAGCTAAAGGGGTATTCCATAACACAGCACATCATGCCCAGTATATAAACTGGGGGCAGTTACCCAGAAGGGGTAGATCACTGCTCGGGTCAGGCTGGGTGTTGGTCAGCGGGTGGTGAGCGGTTGTATTCTCTTCCCTTGTTATTTCCCTTATCATTATTATTATTGGTGGCAGCAGCAGTGGTTTGTGTTATACCTTAGTTACTGGACTGTTCTTATCTCCACCTGTGAGAGTTACATTCTTTTGATTCTCCCCTCATCCCCCCAGGAGAGGGGGAGGAAGGGGGGAGAATGAGTAAGTGAGTGGCTGCGTGGCTGAGATGCCGGCTGGGCTTAAACCACGACACCTTAGTCAAAGCTTTGAGATTCACTGAGCCTTTATTGTCTATCAGTAAACTATGGCAAATGGCTTCCCTGCCTCCCAGTTGAGCCATGGAGACTGTAAAGTACTCATATATACACAGTGACAATCAGGACCATGTGGTGGCCACAGGAAATAAGAGGAAAAATCATGAACTGAACTGCTAAGAGCATCCTTTCCCTTGAGTGTGGTAGTCTCTGCTTTGTCTTTTGCAGAGGTTCCCAAACCTGTGCTCCTGTGATGTCACTGTTGTCACATGCTCCCCCAGTTTCTGTGTGTCACAGAAAATCGTCAGTTTTTTGGTCAGCATCTGTAGGATTTGAATTAATAGCTTCTGCACACCATACCAAATCTACCACAATTCAGGAATCCCAGGCCAAAATGTAGAATTATTGTCAAGATAGAGGTATATCTTAATATAAAAGGCATCTCTTTTTCTCCAGAGAAAGGAGAGTACAAAAGGAAGTTTCAGACAGAGGCATAAGCATTCAGGCACAGGTTCATGTTTACCCTATAGATTTTTGTTTCATAAGCTGTTCTACACACCCCTTGTTTGCCTGTGTGGGTGACATTTCCTGCCGAAATCACTGTCCACAATCCTAGTTATCACCCCAGGATACGTACCACCCTCTCTGGACTCAGGTCATGACATGGAGTATCCCTCAGCAAGAGGAGCAGCATGACGGCTCTTTTTTTTGGACTTCTTCATCCTGCAGACGGGTGACAGAGGGAGGACAAAAAAAACATTAGTGAAGGTGTGGGGAGACTGTTGACAAGCCCCCTGCAACCAAACAATTCCATTTATCCCTGTACCTGAGCTTTGACAATTTGAAACTGTCAGCAGGTATTCGTTCAGAAGAGAGCTAAGAGCTTGTTTGTAGTAGAGCTTGTATTTTTCAGCTAGGTTTGTGTGGTAGTGGTGCAGCTCCATAGTATTTATAGTGGCTGACACATGGTGACCCTCATTAAACTGTTCCACCTCACTGTGAGGTTTCTGTGCTTATCCTTCCATGTGTTGTGCCACGGCATTCTTAAGGTTCTTTCACCTCCTTGTTTACAAAGAGGTGAAACAACATCACAGCTGTAAATCAGGAAAAAATCGACTCTCATCATTTTCTCAGCTGTATATCAAGTTGTTTTTCCTGTAAACAGCACCCTTGTGGTACTACCAGGAATCCAGTGAATAGGTTAGACAAGTAAGCAGATATGAACGGTGATCTCTGGCAGGCTGTGACTCAGCACCGCTCTGTAATCCCTGCCTGGCATTAGGTGTGGGGATGGTATGATGGCTCTGGCTGCTCCAGGCACAACTGGACAACATGGACATCTAGTTTTCTTTCAACATGAAAATGCACTCTTATGGGTAATAATAGTCTGTCTTGTTTTCTCATCTTAAATGCATGATGTGAAAGAAACTATGCAGGGGATGGTTCTTCCACCAGAAGAGGTGAAGGAGGTCACTCTTCAGGTTGCACTATCCCTGTTTCTTAAACCAGTGTTTTTTTTCCCCAACAAGTATTTCCCAGTTGAGCCCTGGAAGTAGAGAAGGCAAACTTGGGCATTTGGTTACACCTTCAAGTGATGTGTGGAATGGGAACTCTTCCCACTCTTCCCTTCCTCTTCTTCCCCCTCCTCACTGCCTACATGGTGTGTCAGGCCTCAGGCTATGCACTGATCACTCCATCGTGGTCCCAGGGCAGCCAAGGATGGCTGCTGCAGTGCTGCTTGCACTTCATGCACTGAATTTTGGGGCACCCCTCCATGTTGCCATCATGGCTCCAGCAACTCCAATGGGGTGCAAGAAGCAGGGTAGGACAGGGCCACCATGTCCACTGCCCTCGCAATGGGAGTGCCCTCAGCTCTTCTTTCAGGAGTCTGATGTTTTGAGGACAAGGCAACCCAGTTGAATAGGTGACAGCAGGAATACAGCCCTCACTTTTATGGTCACAGGAAGGGTTTTGTGGAATAAAATGAAAGCTGAGATGTTTCTCCGGCCCTCCTAGGTCCCAAAAGTGCTGAAAACAGAGCCCTAGTGAGAAGTGCAGAACCTGAGCTTTCACTCACAAGTGTATGTAAATCCAATTACCAGGGATTTATACACACAGGCTCTAAGCTTGCAATAGTGTGCCTATCAATGCACTGCAGCTAATCTCATTGCCTTCAGCACTTCAGATTAATATATTGAGTTTACGCAACCAAAGGCAAGAACCAGAAGCAACAATCATATCACTGACAGCAAACTTCAAACCCTTCAGGCAGCTGGAGCTTGTGTTTTTTCCACATGCAAATAGGCAAGACCAAAATGACCTAAAAAATGACCTTCTCTTCTGATCAGATGAAGAGCTGGGCCTTGATTTCTCCAGCCTTTGCAAATTGCCTTTTCATCTCATTGCTACCTGTTGTGCAGAAATGGGTACTGATGGGAATTTGTCGTGATAAACTCTGGTACAGGGAAACTTTCTTTTCTATCTGGCTAGCTCTTGTCTTCCTCTCATAACAAAGACATTTCCACTATTTTTCTGGACATTCAGAAGAAAAGCTCATTTGCTGAGTGCAGCAGAGCCTTGCCAAAGTTACTGCTTCCAACCCAGCAGCTGCTTGTACCTGCGGGCAATGAAGGGAAAAAAGGTTTGGGTGGTGTCATGCAAATTTTGTGTGGAGGTTCAGGAGTGCGTGAAGGAAGACAGATAACGTACTAAGGCTTTAGAAATCCCAGTAGTCACAGAGAAAAAATTGCACTCAGCTTTGCTATTCCCCTCAGTTTTCAAGTGAATATTAAACTATCTTTCAACTTCAACTCATACTAAACATGATCATTTTACATTGGCTCATACTAAATGTGATCGTCTTATATTGGCCCAATTCCCTACATATTTAGTGTGTTTGTCTATTGTGGCTCATCACATACGAGGTCTGAAGTTCCCTGGGACAGAAACTCTTATTGCATCTGTTCTCAGTGACTTAAAAAACAAAGCTTTAATTCCCCTCAGTAGGGCTTTCAGGCACAGCTATGCTGCATCGGGTGCTCTGAAGCCCCAGATCCTCAAAGATGCAGAAATCTGCAGATTCTGACATTTGCTTTTCCTTGAGATTTCTACACGGCACCTGTCAAGAGCTTTGCTTGTCCTGCTGGGAATGCTGCGAAATAGTCCTCTGCTGTTCATATTTTTGGCTGAGATGCTTGAAACCAGATCAATAAATTGCATTTTAGAAGAATATCTTTCTGAGGAGGGGGCACTAAATGCAGTATTACAGCCTTCATCATAATACAATGTCACTATTTCAGTAAAAAATTCTGACTTCCAGGGGAACTGGATTTTGCCTTGCTAAGGTTATCTTAAAAGACTGAAACTGGGTACATGATCCATTTCAGAATGCATGCTCTTTCAGAATGCATACCCTTGTCATATAAATTCCCTGCAGATTATAGATGGACTCATCCAAGCTTGGTTGTTCACCTTTACACCAAGTAGTGCTGTAGCCATAATAAACCTTGATGTGATAGTGTTCCATTGATTTTAGCAAAGTAGAAGTGTTGCAAGGTATTCAATAATATGCAGAATAGTAATTTTGTGTATTAGGGTAAATGAGAGAATAAAAAAACCCCACAAGAGTAACAAATGCAAACCTGGATTTTGCTCAAGCACTACAAAGTTTGAAAGTAAGCCAGGTGCATGTATTGTATACCAAATTGTGACACAAATACAAATCCTACATTAAAGATAAGAAAGTGTATCACATGCAAGATTTTATACCCATCAGTTGTTTTTCTTGGTTTTATTTTAGCAATAAAGTTCAGCGATGTTCCTTCATTATTTGTTAGCTAGGGAAAGACTGTTATAACTTTTCCAACTCCTAGAACGCTGCGATAGCACAGTGGGGGATTCACAAGCACTTTGATTAGGATGTAAAATAGCAAGGAAATAAAAAAAAAATAAAAAGGCAGAAAGTGGTTTTTTGCATGGATCAGGAAGGAAGGTAAGAGCACTCCAGTGTTCTCCTGCTGTGCAGAGACCTTCCCTACACAGACTGGGAGTGAGGAGAGCAAGGTGAGTTGCAGAGATGCTGTGGATTAGTCTGAAGTTCACCTGAACAATGTCTGGTCTGCATAGCCTAATTCCTCAGGCCCAATGGGCTGTTGGTTCACAGGAAGGGTTTTCAGGTGACACAGGCAGAGGGATAGGCAGTACCTACCGGTCTCCCAGCCTAAGACAGGCACAGTGAGATTGCCTGTTAGGGGACCTAGCATGAGGGGCCATCCCAGGAAGGGTTAAAAAGAGCTGAGTTTGTTGCTGTTCCAACCTGCCTTGCAAATCCAACTACCTCTGAGAGCCACGCTGAAACACGGTGTCATTCATGGTAGTGCAGGACAAGCAAGACTGCACCGCATCAAATGCAGAGTCAGTGAGTGATATTAATGTCTCTGTGACCCAATATGCTTTGGTGTGCCTCATCCTGCCAAGCAGTGTAGCCATAGTGCTGTGCTCAGCCTATACTGTATGAGGTTATCCTAGCACATCTCTACTGCAATATGCCCTGTATGAATCAGAAACTTTTGCTCTGACAAAGGCAATATGGCTTGACCAGGAGCCTTTTCTGCTACAGCCAACTGCTACATTTCCCATTTCTGCAAACACTTCATTTCCCTGACAACAGAAAACCTGTGGAGGGCAGATTACACAAAAGCTTTTGGAGAGCAAGAGAAATCTCTGTTTTTTTTAAAGATCTTGTAGTGATATAGCAGGCCACAAGACAGTACGAGAATAGCAAAAGCCATCTCCAGAAGGGTTGTTTATTCCCCACTAACAGATGGCGCAAAGTAAGAGTTTTTAATATAGGCTTCTATCAGGGGGAGGAAAAATTATAATCCTGGTAGAACTGAAATCCTATTTAAGTATTAAATGTTAAATTTAAATATAAATTTATATCTGTAAAATGCCCGAACAGTAAAAAACAAAGGGACATGGAAACAAAGTCTTGGTTTGAAAATGTCAAAGTGCTCCATGTCAATGCTGTTGGACCAGAATATCCAACTTCATGTTTCACTCAAAACAACAGGTTTTGGTATAGAAAGGAAGCAAAATTAGAAAACAAAATTGAAAGGAGTTTAATTACGCACAACATATGTTGTTTTAGTTGGATGAATCATCAGATTGTTTACGCTGTTTTCATCTGAGAGGATAGGATTTGTTTTGGCTTAATTAAAGCCGTTTCCAAGATTGGAGAAGTAAGTAGTTAGTTCCTACTGTTCACCTGTGGACCTAAACCTCTGCATTTATACACCTGATCCACCTTCACTCTGTGTTCCTCCTGAAACTCTTTAAAAAAGCCTAATTTTTGTCTCCTGGCCCTCTGTATCCCAATACCTTCCTGTGGTCCCTCCCTTCACTTTGACTCTGCCATGCTTCCCGTGAGTCTTGGGTCTCACTGCGTGTTCCCACAGCCCTCACCTTTAGCTAGTGGTCAATTACAAACATGGTAAGTATCCTTGGACTAACCAGTGGTTACTGCCTGGCAGCTTGAGAGCACATTCAAGAGTTTATTTTAACAAGTTTCTTTGCACAAAACTCATTCTTTAATGATGGTTTCTGTGTATTTCCCTCATCTGAGCAAGGTCAGCCCCTCTTAAACCTGTGTGGGGAGGTCATTTTACCACACAATGTTCTCTATGACACAGCATTAGGGGCCTTTGTTTGGCTTTTTGGCAAGG